GACTAATCCTGTTGTCCATATAAATTTCAGTAGAAAAATGTCGTAAAAAGTGGAAGTACCTGAGGGACGCATATAAAAGAGAGAAAAATGAAGAGAAAGAGTACACACACACACACACACACACGCTTTAATTATATTAAATGATTCATGTGTTCCGATATGTAAAATATAGCTTTGAAATATAAAATACATTGTATTACTGAATCATAAATACCTAGAAACTTAATAATTATGCTACACTCTACGAGACAGATATTTGACAAATATATTATTTTTACTTCACTGATAAAACACCATGGCATTTTCAGATTAATGATAAAAATATCAATGTAAGCATAATAATTCTTTCACCTATGCACATAGGTTACCTCAGACAAATGGAGAGACGTTCTTCCGAGCTGATGGCTTCCCGGTAATTTGTGTCTCGCCTTGTAATAGAAGGTCCGATTTTAGTCAGAAACAAATTATCTACCAAATCAGATACAAGTAACAATTTAGCGGATATTCCGTATCATAGCAACCAAAGCGTCTCAACTGAAAAAACGCTGCGCCACAAAAAGCGCTCTCAAGCGCTCGCAGCTGGGCGTTTTCAGCAGAGCGCCTGGCGTTTTCAGCTGGCTAAAAACGCTTTGGTGGACACAGGGCCTAACACTATGTTAGAGTAACTAAGGAAATGAAGAGAATGCAAGCCCACATATGCTGAAAAACTTGTTTCTCTGTTAGAGAAAGTTTGTTTATGCAATGTTAAGACTAAAGATTGCCATAAGAAAAGAAATGTTATTTGCAATGCAGAAAAGACAGATTTTAATGTGTTAGGAGTTTTATGCTCATGAAGTTGTTAGAGCTTCTAAGCACAAGATGCTTAGTTTAGTGCTTCTGCGAACAGTAACACTATGTTAGTGCAACTCAGCAAATGAAAGGGTGATTACTAGAGCGGTTGCTAGGTTACCCGGGATGGTTGCTAGGGTGTTGCTATGCGGTTGCTAGGGTACCCGGGGTGGTTGCTAAGGTGTTCCTATGCGGTTGCTAGGGTACCCAGGTTAGTTGCTAGGGTTTTGCTTTATGGTTGCTAGGGTACCTAGGGCAGTTGCTAGGGTGTTGCTATGTGGTTGCTAGGGTACCCGAGATAGTTGCTAAGGTGTTGCTATGTGCTTGCTAGGGTACCCGGGGCGGTTGCTAAGGTGTTGCTATGCGGTTGCTAAGGTACTCGTGGTCGTTGCTAGGGTGTTGCTATGCGGTTGCTAGGGTACTTGGGGTGGTTACTAGAGCGTTTGCTAGGTTATCCGGGATGGTTGCTAGGGTGTTGCTATGCGGTTGCTAGTGTACTGGCGTGGTTGCTAAGGTGTTGCTATGCGGTTGCTAGGGAACCTGGGGCGGTTGCTAAGGTTTTCCTATTCAGTTGCAACAGTGTTGCATAGCGGTTGCTAAGGTACTCGGATGGTTGCTAAGATGTTACTATGCGGTTGCTAAGGTACTCGGGGTGGTTGCTAGGGTGTTGCTATGCGGTTGCTAGGGTACTTGGGGTGGTTAGAAGAGCGGTTTCTTGCTTTGTGGTTTCTAGGATACCCGGGATGTTTGCTAAGGTGTTGCTAGGGTAGCAAGGGAAGTTGCTAAGGTGTTGCTAAGGTGTTGCTGTGTGGTTGATAGGGTACCCGGGGCGGTTGCTAAGCTGGTGCTATGCGGTTGCTAAGTTATTCGGGTGGTTGCTATGGTGTTGCTATGCGGTTGCTAGGGTACCCGGGCGGTTGCTAAGGTGTTGCTATGCGGTTGCTAAGGTACTTGGGGTGGTTACTAGAGCTTTTGCTAGGTTATCCGGGATGGCTGCTGGGGTGTTGCTATGCGTTTTGTTAGGGTACCCGGGGCTGTTGCTAAGGTGATGCTATGTGGTTGCAAGGGTACCTGGGTTATTTGCTAGGGTGATGCTATATGGTTGCTAGGGTACCTAGGGCAGTTGCTAGAGTGTTGCTATGTGGTTGCTAGGGTACCCGGGATGGTGGCTAAGGTGTTGCTATGTGGTTGCTAGTGTACCCGGGATGGTTGCTAAGGTGTTGCTATGCGGTTGCTAGGGTAATGTGGTGTTTGCTAGGGTGTTGCTATGCGGTTGTTAGGGTACCAGGGGTGGTTGCAAAGGTGTTGCTATAATGTTGCTAGGGTGTTGCAATGCGGTGGCTAAGGTACTCGGGGTGGTTTCTAGGGTGTTAATATGCGGTTGCTAGGGTACCCGAGATGGTTGCTAGGGTGTTGCTATGCGGTTGCTAGGGTAACCGGGATGGTTGCTAAGGTGTTGCTATGTGGTTGCTAGTGTACCCGGGATGGTTGCTAATGTGTTGCTATGCGGTTGCTAGGGTACCCGGGATGGTTGCTAGGGTGTTGCTATGTGGTTGCTAGGGTACCCGGGGAAATTGCTAAGCTGTTGCTATGCGGTTGCTACGGTATTCGGGTGGTTGCTATGGTGTTGCTATGCGGTTGCTAGGGTACCCGGGGCGGTTGCTAAGGTGTTGCTATGCGGTTGCTAAGGTACTCGTGGTCGTTGCAAGGGTGTTGCTATGCGGTTGCTAGGGTACTTGGGGTGGTTACAAGAGCATTTGTTAGGTTATCCGGGATGGTTGCTAGGGTGTTGCTATGCGGTTGTTAGGGAACCAGGGGTGGTTGCTAAGGTGTTGCTATGTGGTAGTTAAGGTATTCAGGGTGGTTGCTAGGGTTTGCTTTGCGGTTGTTAGGGTACCAGGGGTGGTTGCTAATGTGTTGCTATGATGTTGCTAGGGTGTTGCAATGCGGTTGCTAATGTACTTTGGGTGGTTGCTAGGTTGTTGCTATACGGTTGCTAGGGTACTTGGGGGGGTTACTAAGGTGGTCCTAGCGGTTGCTAGGGTTGCGAGGGGGTGTATTCGGGTGGTTGCTATGGTGTTGCTATGCGGTTGCTAGGGTACCCGGGGCAGTTGCTAAGGTGTTGCTATGCGGTTGCTAAGGTACTCGTGATCGTTGCAAGGGTGTTGCTATGCGGTACTTGGGGGGGTTACTAGAGCGGTTGCTAGGTTACCCGGGATGGTTGCTTAGGTGTTGCTATGCGGTTGCTAGGGTACTGTGGTGTTTGCTAGGGTGTTGCTATGCAGTTGATAGGGTACCAGGGGTGGTTGCTAAGGTGTTGCTATGCGTTTGATACGGTACCCGAGGTTGCTTGTGTGTTGCTATACGGTTGCTAAGGTACTCAGGGTGGTTGCTACTGTTTTGCTATGCGGTTGCTAGGGTACTTGGGGTGGTTACTAGAGCGTTTGCTACATTACCTGGCATGGTTGCTAGTGTGTTGCTATGCGGCTGCTAGGGTACCCCAGGGTGGTTGCTAAGGTTTCATATGCGGTTGCTAGGGTACCCGGGTTAGTTGCTAGGGTGTTGCTATGTGGTTGCTAGGGTACCTGTGATAGTTGCTAAGGTGTTGCTATTCAGTTGCTAGGGTGTTGCATAGCGGTGGCTAAGGTACTCGGGGTGGTTGCTAGGGTGTTGCAATGCGGTTGCTAGGGTACCCGGGGTTGTAGCTAAGGTGTTGCTATGCAGTTGCTAAGGTACTCGGGGTGGTTGCTACGGTTGTGCTATGCGGTTGCTAGGGTACTTGGGGTGGTTACTAGAGCGTTTGCTAGGTTACCCGGGATGGTTGCTAGGCGTTTGCTAGGGTACCCCGGGTGGTTGCTAAGATTTCAAATGCGGTTGCTAGGGTACCCGGGTTAGTTGCTAGTGTGTTGCTATATGGTTGCTAGGGTAACTAGGGCAGTTGCTAGGGTAACTGTGTTAGTTGCTAAGGTGTTTCTATGCGGTTGCTAGGGTGTTGTTATGTGGTTGCTAGGGTTCCTGGGGCGATTGCTAAGCTGTTGCTATTGAGTGTGGTTCCTAAGATGAGCAGCAGACGACACCACAAATTGGCGACCCAGATGGGACTGGTAAAGAGCAGAGGAGTGGACGGCCACTTTGGGCTGACTAAGACAGACAACGCAAACACGGTGGCCACCGAATAGGTAAGCAATTTTGCTTATATAATTCGTTTGTGTTGTTTGCTGGTCTGCTCTTAGTGGTAAGGACACTTAAAATCTGCTCTTCCAGAATTAAAAATAAATAAATAACTAAAATAAAGTAAAAAAGGGGTTTTGATGTCAGAAGAAATAACTGCATGCACATATTTGGTTTAATGTTGGGAAGGCCTTGATAGGTGACCTAAATTGAAGCTGAATGGTGTAGGCAGAAATACATTACGTGTAATGGTCTGTATTTATTGTGGATCGGGCCTAAAAGGGCAGCAATCAGCAATGAAGCAAATATAGTAAAGGAAAGCGCGCAAGCAAATTAATATAGAAGAAAAAACACACCCATGTTGCTAGACAAAGGTGTTGTCTATACTTGTTTAAATTTAAAATATGCCTCACATCTCCCCTTGTCTGAAAAAATTCGCAAAGACAATAGGATTCTCAAGAAAAATGCAATTAATTCCAATGACAGCTCCAGTGTGTAGACAAACAGAAAATCAAAGTATAACAATGCCCATTCTGGTATCAAATCAGACTCCTATCAATTTGTCAGGAAGAGATGCATTATGTAAATTAGGGCTACAAATTTGGTGTTCTCCAGAAGAAATATATATCGACGCAATAGGAACAGAAACACAAATGGTGGTTACAGAGCCAAAAGCTAATATCTATTGGACAGGACAGATAGAACAAGATGTGAGACAGACAGTCAATAAGTTGTTAAAGTATATTGAAGTACAAATTCCTGAAGCACAGCTACCAAAAACAGAATTTCATTGCACAATGATATATGATGCAGAAAGAGATTAAAAAATAAATAAAATAAAATAAAATAAAGAAAGAAAAAAATAGAACAAATAGGGCAATTAATTTCTGCTATGATGCTACCAAAAAGACTAGCAATAATCAAATGTCAGGCACACAAGAAGGGAAATGATTATGTTATTAATGATATTAAGGGAAACAATGCAGTAAATATAGAAGCTAAAAAAGCTTCAAGGTGTCAAGTAGCAGTATTAGCACCTGTAGTACTTATCGAACCTCAACCTCAATTAGAGGATATAATTCGAATTCAACAACAAGCAGGCCCTTATGAACAATCAACGTGGCACCAAAGGGGAGCTAAAAAAGACGCACAAGAGATCTGGCGTACACATGAAGGAAACATGGTGGCACCTACATCACTTTTGAATATTCTTATTGCAGATGCACATGGTTTCGACCATTGCGCAAGGGGGGGAAGTGATAAGAAAAATTAAAAAGCAAGTGATAAGGAAAATTAAAAAGCAAGGATATTGGTCTTCTTATTTATATGCAATGGTGGATGAATTTTTGTCCACATGTGAAGTTTGTGCTAAATACAATGTAAGGAAAGGGATAGCGACACCAATAGGCCATATACCAGTATCAGCAGGACCTTTAAGCATTTGGTAATGGACTATGTGTATAAGATAAAGGGAGTACAAAGAAAAAGATACATGCTTGTGATCATAGACAGATTTAGCAGGTGGGTGGAGGCAGTACCATCAGCAGATCTGGGAGCAGGAACAGTAATTAAAAATTTATAACAAGAGAACTATTTCCTAGATTTGGAATGGTACCGGGGTTAGTTGCTAGGGTGTTACTATATGGTTGCTAGGGTACCAGGGCAGTTGCTATGGTACCCGTGTTAGTTGCTAAGGTGTTTCTATGCGGTTGCTAGGATACCCGGAGTGTTTGCTAAGCTGTTGCTATGCGGTTGCTAAGGTATTCGGGTTGTTGCTATGGTGTTGCTATGCGGTTGCTAGGTACCCAGAGCAGTTGCTAGAGTGTTGCTATGCGGTTGCTAAGGTATCCAGGATTGTTGTTAGGGTATTGCTATTCGGTTGCTAGGGTACCCGGGGCGGATGCTAAAGTGTTGCTATGCGGTTGCTAAGGTACTCGGGGTGGTTGCTAGGGTGTTTCTATGCCGTTGCTATGGTACCTGGGGTGGTTGCTAAGGTGTTGAAATTCATTTGCTAGGATGTTGCATAGCGGTAGCAAAGGTAATCGGGGTGGTTGCAAAGGTTTTGCTATGCTGTTGCCAAGGCACTAGGGTTGGTTACTAGAGCAGTTGCTAGGTTACCCTGGATGGTTGCTACGGTGTTGCTATACCATTGCTAGGGTACCCGGGGTGGTTGCTACGGTGTTCCTATATGGTTGCTAGGGTACCCGGGTTAGTTGCTAGAGTGTTGCTTTATGGTTGCTTGGGTACCTTGGGCAGTTGCTAGGGTGTTGCTATGTGGTTGCAAGGGTACCCGGGATAGTTGCTAAGGTGTTGCTATGTGCTTGCAAGGGTACCCGGGCGGTTGCTAAGCTGTTGCTATGCGGTTGATAAGGTATTCTGGAGGTTGCTAAGGTGTTGCTATGCGGTTGCTAAGGTACTTGTGGTTGTTGCTAGGGTGTTGCTTTGCGGTTGCTAGGGTACTTGGGAAGGTTTCTAAAGCGTTTGCTAGGTTATCCGGTATGGTTGCTATGATGTTGCTATGCTGTTGCTAGGGTACCGGGTTAGTTGCTAGGGTGTTGCTATATGGTTGCTAGGGTACATAGGGCAGTTGCATGGGTGATGCTATGTGCTTGCTAGGGTACCCGGGGCGGTTGCTAAGGTGTTGCTAAGCGGTTGCTAGGGTACCCGGGGCAGTTGCTAAGGTGTTGCAATGCGGTTGCTAGGGTACCCGGGGCGGTTGCTAAGGTGTTGCAATGCGGTTGCTAAGGTATTCGTGGTCGTTGCTAGGGTGTTGCTATGCGGTTGCTAGGGTACTTGGGGTGTTTACTAGAGCGTTTGCTAGGTTATCCGGGATGGTTGCTAGGATGTTGCTATGCGTTTGCTTGTGTACTGACATGGTTGCTAAGGTGTTGCTATGCGGTTGCTAGGGTACTTGGTGTGGTTACTAGAGCGTTTGCTTGGTTATCCGGGATGGTTGCTATGGTGTTGCTATATGTTTGCTAGGGTACCTGGGGTGGTTGCTAAGGTGTTACTATGCGGTTTCTAGGGTACCCGAGTTAGTTGCTAGGGTGTTTCAATATGGTTGCTAGGGAAGCTAGGGAAGTTGCTAAGGTGTTGCTAAGTGGTTGCTAAGGTACCCGGGGCGGTTGCTAAGCTGGTGCTATGTGATTGCTAAGGTATTCGGGTGTTTGTTAGGGTACCCAGGGTGGTTGCTAAGTTGTTACTGTGCGGTTGCTAGGGTACCCGGGTTAGTTGCTAGGGTATTGCTATATGGTTGCTAGGGTACCGAGGGCAGTTGCTAGGGTGTTGCTATGTGGTTGCTAGTTTACCCGGGGCGGTTGCTAAGGTGTTGCAATGCAGTTGCTAAGGTACTGGGGTGGTTGCTAGGGTGTTGCTATGCGGTTGCTAGGGTACCCTGAGCGGTTGCTAGGGTGTTGCTTTGTGGTTTCTAGAATACCCGGGATGGTTGCTAAGGTGTTGCTATGCGGTTGCTAGGGTATCCAGAGCAGTTGATTGGGTGTTGCTATGCGGTTCATAGGTTACCCAGAGCACTTGCTAGGGTGTTCCTAGGGTACCCGGGATCATTTTTAGGGTGTTGCTATGCGGTTTCTAGGGTACCCAGAGTGGTTGCTAAGGTATTGCTCTGCGGTTGCTAAGGTACTCTTGGTCGTTGCTAGGGTGTTGCTATATGGTTGCTAGGGTACTTGGGGTGGTTTCTAGAGCGTTTGCTATGTTATCCGGGATGGTTGCTATGGTGTTGCTATGTGTTTCCTAGGGTACCCGGGGTGGATGCTAAGGTGTTGCAATGCAGTTGCTAGGGTACCCGGATTATTTGCTAAGCTAATATAATGCGTTTGCTAAGGTATTCGGGTGGTTGCTAAGGTGTTGCTATGCGGTTGCTAGGGTACCCGGGTTTTTTGCTAGGGAGTTGCTATATGGTTGCTAGGGTACCTAGAACAGTTGCTAGGGTGTTCCTATGTGGTTGCTAGGGTACCCGGGGTGGTTGCTAAGGTGTTGCTATGCGGTTGCTAAGGTTTTCAGGGGGTTGCTAGGGTGGTTGCTCGGGTGTTCTGATGCAGTTGCTAGGGAACCTGGGTGGTTGCTAAGGTTTTGCAATGCGGTTGCCAGGGTACACGGTGCGGTTGCTAGAGGTTGCAATGCAGTTGCCAGGGTACCCGGGGCGGTTGCTAAGGTTTTGACATGTGGTGGCTAAGGTACTTGGGGTGGTTGCTGGGGTGTTGCTTTGCGGTTGATAGAGTACTTAGGGTGGTTACTAGAGCGGTTTCTTGGTTACCCGGGATGGTTGCAAGGGTGTTGCCATGCGTTTGCTAGGTTACCCGGGTTACTTGCTAGGGTGTTGCTTTGTGGTTTCAAGGGTACCCGGAATGGTTGTTAATGTGTTGCTATGCGGTTACTAGTGTTCCCGGGATACTTGCTAGGGTGTTGCTTTGTGGTTTCTAGGGTTTTACGTTCCCTAAACACATTTCTGAGGATTTGAAGATCTATGCCCACAGTGCTTTTTAAATGGTTGTTAAGGTGTTGCTATGCGGTTGCTAGGGTACCCGAGGTGGTTGCTTAGGTGTTGCTATGTGGTTGCTAGGGTGTTGATATGTTGTTGCTAAGGTACTCGGGTGGTTGCTTGGGTGTTGCTATGAAGTTGCTAGGGTGCTCGGGGTGGTTGCTAGGGTGTTGCTATGTGGTTGTTAGGGTACCCGTAATGGTTGCTAGGGTGTAGCTATGCGGTTGGTAGGGTACCTGGGGCGGTTGCTAAGGTGTTGCTATGCGGTTGCTAGGGTACTTGGGGTGGTTTCTAGTTCGGTTGCTATGTTACCCCAGGTTATTTGCTAAGGTGTAGCTATGTGGTTGCTAGGGTACCTTAGGCAGTTAATAGGGTGTTGCTAAGTGGTTGCTAGGGTACCCGGGATGGTTGCTAAAGTGTTACTATGCGGTTGTTAGGGTACCCGGTACGGCTGCTAAGGTGTTGCTATGCAGTTGCTAAGGTACCTGTGATGGTTGCTAGGGTGATGCTATGTGGTTGCTAGGGTACCTAGAGTAGTTTCTAGGGTGTTGCTATGTGGTTGCTAGGGTATTCGGGGTGGTTACTATGGTGTTGCTATGAGGTTTCTAGGGTACCTATAAGGGGTGGTTGCTAGGGTGTTGCTATACTGTTGCTAGGTACCCGTGGTGGTTGCTAAGGTGTTGCTATGCGGCTGCTAGGGTACCCGGGATGGTTGCTAATGTTGCTAAGCGGTTGCAAGGGTACCCGGGGTGGTTGCTAAGGTGTTGCAATGCGGTTACTAGGGTGTTGCTATAATGTTGCTATAATGTTGCTAAGGTGCACGGGGTGGTTGCAAGGGTTTTGCTATGCAGTCGCTACGGTTCCCAGGATGGTTGCTAGGGTGTTGATATGCGTTTGCTAGGGTACCCCGGGGCAGTTGCTAAGGTACTCGTGGGGGTTGCTATGCGGTTGCTAGGGTACCCAGGATTGTTGCTAGGGTGTAGCTCTGCTGTTGCTAGGGTACGCGGGATGGTTGCTAGGGTGTTGCTATGTGGTTGCTAGGGTACCCAGGACTGTTGCTAAGGTGTTGCTTTGCGGTTGCTAAGGTACTGGGTTGGTTGCTAGGGTGTTGCTTTGTGGTTACTAGGGTACCCGGGACTGTTGCTAACGTGTTGCTATGCGGTTGCTAAGGTATTCGGGGTGGTTTCTAGAGTGTTGCTATGCAGTTGCTAGGGTACCAGGGGCGGTTGCTAAGGTGTTGCTATGCGTTTGCTAAGCTACTCAAAGGGTTTGCTAGGATGGTAGCTAGGGTGTTCCTACGCGGTTGCCAAGGAACCCGGGGTGGTTGCTAAGGTGTTGCTATGCGGTTGCCAAGGTACACGGTGCAGTTGTTACGTTGTTGCTTTGCGGTTGTAAGTGTGTTGCAATGCAGTTGCTAAGTTACCCTGGGCATTGCTAGGTTACCCGGGTTACTTGCTAGGGTGTTGCTTTGTGGTTTCTAGGGTACCCGGGATGGTTGCAAAGGTGTTGCTATGCGGTTGCTAGGGTACCCAGAGCAGTTGCTAGTGTGTTGCTATGCGGTTGCTAGGTTTCCGAGAGCAGTTGCTAGGGTACCCGGGATGGTTGTTAGGGTGTTGCTATGCGGTTGCTAGGGTACCCGGGGTGGTTGCTAGGGTTTTGCTTTGCGGTTGCTAGGTTACCCGGGGTGATTGCTAGGGTGTTGTTTTGCAGTTGCTATGGTACCCGGGGTTGTGGCTGGGTTATTGCTATGCGGTTGCTATGGTACCCAGGATGTTTGATAGGGTGTTACTATGCGGTTGCTTGTGTACCCGGGGCGGTTGCTAGAGCGTTTGCTAGGCAATCCAGGATGGTTGCTAGGGTGTTGCTATGCGTTTGTTAGGGAACCCGGGGTGGTTGCTAATGTGTTGCTATGCGGTTGCAAGGGTACCCGGGTTAGTTGCTAGGGTGTTGCTATGTGGTTGCTATGGAACACGAGATGGTTGCTAAGGTGTTGCTATGCGCTTGCTTGGGTACCCGGGTCAGTTGCTAAGCTGTTGCTATGCGTTTGCTAAGGTATTCGGGTGGTTGCTATGGTGTTGCTATGCGGTTGCTAGGGTACCCGGGGCGGTTGCTAAGGTCTTGCTATGAGGTTGTTAGGGTACCAGGGGCGGTTGCTAAAGTGTTGCTATGATGTTGCAATGCGGTGGCTAAGGTACTCAGGGTGGTTGCTAGGGTGTTGCTATGCGTTTGCTAGGGTACCCGGGGTGGTTGCTAAGGTGTTGCTATGCGGTTGTTAGGGTACCAGGGGAGGTTGCTAAGGTGTTGCTATGCGTTAGATCAGGTATTCAGGGTGGTTGCTAGGGTTTGCTATGAGGTTGTTAGGGTACCAGTGGGGGTTGCTAAGGTGTTGCTATGATGTTGCAATGCGGTGGCTAAGGTACTCGGGGTGGTTGCTAGGGTGTTGCTATGCGTTTGCTAGGGTACCCGGGGTGGTTGCTAAGGTGTTGCTATGCGGTTGCTATGGTACTCGTGGTCATTGCTAAGGTGTTGCTATGCGGTTGCTAGGCTACTTGGGGTGTTTACTAGAGCTTTTGATAGGTTATTCAGGATGGTTGCTAGGGTGTTGCTATGCGTTTGCTAGGGTACCCGGGATGGTGGCTAAAGTGTTGCTATGCGGTTGCTAGGGTACCCGGGTTAGTTGCTAGGGTGTTGCTATATGGTTGCGAGGGTACATAGGGCAGATGCTAGGGTGTTGCTATGTTGATGGTAGGGTACCCGGGATGGTTGCTAAGGTGTTGCTATGCGGTTGCTAAGGTATTTGGGTGTTTGGTATGGTGTTGCTATGCAGTTGCTAGGGTACCTGGGGCGGTTGCTAAGGTGTTGCTCTGCTGTTGCTAAGGTACTCGTGGTCTTTGCTAGGGTGTTGCTATATGGTTGCTAGGGTACCTAGGACAGTTGTTAGGGTGTTGCTATGTGGTTGCTAGCGTACCCGGGATGGTTGCTAAGGTGTTGCTTTGCGGTTGCTAGGGTACTGTGGTGTTTGCTAGGATGTTGCTATGCGGTTGCTAGGTACCCGGAGTGGTTGCTAAGGTGTTGCTATGCGGTTGCTAGGGTACCCAGGATGGTTGCTAATGTGTTGCTATGCGGTTGCTAGGTTACTTGGTGCGGTTGCTAAGGTTTTGCTATGCAGTTGCTTAAGTATTCAGGGTGGTTGCTAGGGTGTTGCTATGCGATTGTTACGGTAGCAGGGGTGAATGCTAAGGTGTTACTATGCAGTAGTTAAGGTATTCAGGGTGGTTGTTAGGGTTTGCAATGCGGTTGTTAGGGTACCAGGGGTTGTTGCTAAGGTGTTGCTATGATGTTGCTAGGGTGTTGCAATGCGATGGCTAAGGTACTCAGGGTGGTTTCTAGGGTGTTGATATGTGGTTGCTAGGGTACCGGGATGGTTTGCTAGGGTTTTGCTATGTGGTTGCTAGGATACCTGAGATGGTTGCTAAGGTGTTGCTATGTGGTTGCTAAGGTAGCCGGAGCGGTTGCTAAATTGTTGCTTTGCAGTTGCTAGGGTGTTGGTATGTGGCTGCTAGGGTATCCGGGGCGGTTGCTAAGGTGTTGCTATGCGGTTGCAAGAGTACCCGGGATAGTTGCTAGGGTTTAGCTATTCGGTTGCTAAGGTACCTGGGGCGGTTGCTAAAGTGTTCCTATGCGGTTGCTAGGGTACCCGGAGCGGTTGCTAAGGTGTTGCTATGGGGTTGCTACGGTACCCGAGTTTGCAAGGGTGTTGCTATGCGGTTGCTAAAGTACTAGGTGTGGTTGCTAAGGTGTTGCTTTGCAGTTGCTAAGGTAACAGGGATGGTTGCTAAGGTTTTGCTATTTGGTTGCTATGCGGTTACAGTAGGCTAAGTACTCGGTGTGGTTTCTAGGGTGTTGATATGTGGTTGCTAGGGTACCCGGGATGGTTGCTAGGGTGTTGCTATGCAGTTGCTAAGGTATTCGGGTGGTTGCTATAGTGTTGCAATGCGGTTGCTAGGGTACCCAGGGCGGTTGCTAGGGTGTTGCCATGCGGTTGCTAGGGTACCCGGGTTAGTTGCTAGGGTGTTTCTATATGGTTGCTAGTTTAACTAGGGATGTTGCTAAGGTGTTGCTAGAATACCCGGGGCAGTTGCTAAGCTGTTGCTATGCGGTTGCTAAGGTATTCGGGTGGTTGCTATGGTGTTGCTATGCGGTTGCTAGGGTACCCGGGGCGGTTGCTAAGGCATTGCTATGCGGTTGCTAAGGTACTTGTAGTTGTTGCTAGGGTGTTGCTATGCGGTTCCTAGGGTACTTGGGGTGTTTACTATATCGTTTGCTAGGTTATCCGGGATGGTTGCTAGGGTGTTGCTATGCGTTTGCAAGGGTACCCGGGGTGGCTGCTATGATTTCATATTTGGTTGCTAGGGTACCCGGGATAGTTGCTAGGGTGTTGCTATGCGGTTGCTAAGGTATTCGGGTGGTTGCTATGGTGATGCTGAGCGGATGGTAGGGTACCCGGGGCGGTTGCTAAGGCATTGCTATGCGGTTGCTAAGGTACTTGTAGTTGTTGCTAGGGTGTTGCTATGCGGTTCCTAGGGTACTTGGGGTATTTACTATATCGTTTGCTAGGTTATCCGGGATGGTTGCTAGGGTGTTGCTATGCGTTTGCAAGGGTACCCGGGGTGGCTGCTATGATTTCATATTCGGTTGCTAGGGTACCCGGGATAGTTGCTAGGGTGTTGCTATATGGTTGTTGGGGTACCTAAGGCAGTTGCTAGGGTGTTGTTATGTGGTTGCTACGGTACCCGAGTTAGTTGCTAGGGTGTTGCTGTATGGTTGCTAGGGTATATAGGGCAGTTTGCTAGGGTGTTGCTAGGGTACCCGTCGTGGTTGCTAAGTTGTTGCTATTCAGTTGCTAGTGTACTTGCGTGGTTGCTAAGGTGTTGCTATGCGGTTGATAAGGTATTCGGGTGGTTGCTATGGTGTTGCTATGCAGTTGCGAGGTACCCAGAGCTGTTGCTAGGGTGTTGCTATGCGGTTGCTAGGGTACCCGGGATTGTTGTTAGGGTATTGCTATTCGGTTGCTAGGGTACCCGGGGCAGTTTCTAGGGTGATGCTATGTGGTTGCTAGGGTACCCGGGATAGTTGCTAAAGTGTTTCTATGCGGATGCTAGGGTGATGTTATGTGGTTGCTAGGGTACCCGGGGCGGTTGCTAAGATGTTGCTTTGCGGTTGCTAAGATATTTGGGTGGTTGATATGGTGTTGCTATGCGGTTGCTAGGTACCAAGAGAAGTTGCTAAGGTGTTGCTATGAGGTTGCTAGGGTACCCGGGATTGTTGATATGGTACTAGGGGTGGTTACTAGAGTGGTTGCTAGGTTACCCGTGATGGTTGCTAGGGTGTTGCTATGTGGTTGCTAGGGTACCCGGGGTGGTTGCTAAGGTGTTCCTCTGTGGTTGCTAGGGTACCCTGGTTAGTTGCTAGGGTGTTGCTTTATGGTTGCTAGGGTACCTAGGGCAGTTGCTAGGGTGTTGCTATGTGGTTGCTAGGGTACCCGGGATAGTTGCTAAGGTGTTGCTATGTGCTTGCTAGGGTACCCTGGGCGGTTGCTAAGCTTTTGCTAAGGTATTGGGGTGGTTGCTATGCGGTTGCTAGGGTACCCGGGACGGTTGCTAAGGTGTTGCTATGCGGTCGCTAGGGTACCCGGGGCGGTTGCTAAGGTGTTGCAATGTGGTTGCTAAGTTACTCGTGGTCGTTCCTAGGGTGTTGCTATGCGGTTGCTTGGGTACTTGTTGTGGTTACTAGAGCGTTTGCTAGGTTATCCGGGATGGTTGCTATGGTGTTGCTATGCGTTTGCTAGGGTACCCGGGCTGGATGCTAAGGTGTTGCAATGCAGTTGCTAGGGTACCCGGGTTAGTGGCTAGGGTGTTTCTATATGGTTGCTAGGGTTCATAGGGCAGTTGCTAGGGTGTTGCTATGTGGTTGCTAGGGAACCCGGGATGGTTGCTAAGCTGTTGCTATGCCGTTGCTAGTGTACTGGCGTGGTTGCTAAGGTGTTACTACGCGGTTGATAGGGTGCTTGTTGTGGTTACTAGAGCGTTTGCTAGGTTATCCGAGATGGTTGCTATGGTGTTGCTATGCGTTTGCTAGGGTATCCGGGGTGGTTGCTAAGGTGTTGCTATGCGGTTTCTATGGTACCCGGGTTAGTTGCTAGGGTGTTTCTATATGGTTGCTAGGGTAGCTAGGGATGTTGCTAAGGTGTTGCTAGAGTACCCGGGGCAGTTTCTAAGCTGTTGCTATGCGGTTGCTAAGGTATTCGGGTGGTTGCTATGGTGATGCTGAGCGGATGGTAGGGTACCCGGTGCGGATGCTAAGGTGTTGCTATGCGGTTGCAAAGGTACTTGGGCTGGTTACAAGAGCGTTTGCTAGGTTATCCGGGATGGTTGCTAGGGTGTTGCTAAACATTTGATAGGGTTCCCGAAGTGGTTGTTAAGGTGTTGCTATGCGGTTGCTAGGGTACTCGGGTTAGTTGCTAGGGTGTTGCTATATTGATGCTAGAGTACCTAGGGCAGTTGCTAGGGTGTTGCTTTGCGTTTGCTAGGGTACCCGGAATGGTTGCTAAAGTGTTGATATGCGCTTGCTTGGGTACCCGGAGCGGTTGCTAAGCTGTTGCTATGCTGTTGCTAAGGTATTCGGGTGGTTGCTATAGTGTTGCTATGCGGTTTCTATGGTACCCGGGGCGGTTGCTAAGGTGTTGCTAAGCGGTTGCTAAGGTATTCGGGTGGTTGATATGCGGTTGCTAAGGTAACCGGGACAGTTGCTAAGGTGTTGCTATGCGGTTGCTAGGGTACCCGGGACGGTTGCTATGGTGTTACTATGCGCTTGCTAAGGTATTCAGGTGGTTGCTATGCTGTTGCTATGCAGTTGCTATGGTTCTCAGTGCGGTTGCTAAGGTGTTGCTATGCGGTTGCAAGGCTATCCGGTGCTGTTGCTAAGGTGTTGCTATGCGGTTGCTATGGTACTCGTGGTCGTTGCTAGGGTGTTGCTATGCGGTTGCTAGGGTACTTTGGGTGTTTATTAGAGCGTTTGCTTGGTTATCCAGGATGGTTGCAAGGGTGTTGCTATGCGTTTGCTAGGGTACCCGGGTTAGTTGCTAGGGTGTTGCTATATGGTTGCGAGGGTATATAGGGCAGTTGCTAGGGTGTTGCTATGTGGTTGGTAGGGTACCCGGGATGGTTGCTAAGGTGTTGCTTTGCGTTTGCTTGGGTCCCGGTGCGGTTGCTAAGATGTTGCTATGTGGTTGCTAAGGTATTTGGGTGTTTGCCATGGTGTTGCTATGCAGTTGCTAGGGTACCTGGGGCGGTTGCTAAGGTGTTGCTATGCTGTTGCTAGGGTACTTAGGGCAGTTGCGAGGGTGTTGCCATGTGGTTGCTAGGGTACCCGGGATGGTTGCTAAGGTGTTGCTATGTGGTTGCTAGGGTACCCTGTGAAGTTGCTAAGCTGTTGCTATGCGGTTGCCAAGGTATTCGAGTGGTTGCTATGGTGTTGCTATGCGGTTGCTAGTGTACCCGGGGCGGTTGCTAAGCTGTTGCTAAGCGGTTGCTAAGGTATTCAGGTGGTTGCTATGCGGTTGCTAAGGTAACAGGGACAGTTTCTAAGGTGTTGCTATGCGGTTGCTAGGGTACCCGGTACGGTTGCTATGGTGTTACTATGCGCTTGCTAAGGTACCCGGGGCGGTTGCTAAGCTGTTGCTATACGGTTGCTAAGGTATTTGGGTTAGTTGCTAGGGTGTTGCTATATGGTTGCTAGGGTACATAGGGCAGTTGCTAGGGTGTTGCTATGTGGTTGTTAGGGTACTCGGGGCAGTTGCTTAGGTGTTGCTATGCGGTTGCTAAGGTACTCGTGGTCGTTGCTAGGGTGTTGCTATGCGGTTGCAAGGGTACTTGGTGTGGTTACTAGAGTGTTTGCTTGGTTATCCGGGGTGGTTGCTTGGGTGTTGCTATGTGTTTGCTAATGTACCCGGTTTAGTTGCTAGAGTGTTTCTATATGGTTGCTAGGGTATCTAGGGCAGTTGCTAGGGTGTTGCTATGTGGTTGCTAGGGTACCCGGGGTGGTTGCTAAGGTGTTGCTATGCGGTTTCTAGGGAACCCGGGTTAGTTGCTAGGGTGTTTCTATATGGTTGCTAGGGTAGTTGCTAAGGTGTTGCTATGTGGTTGCTAGGGTACCCGTTATGGTTGCTAAGGTGTTACTATGCTCTTGCTAAGGTACCCGGGGCGGTTGCTAAGCTGTTGCTATGCGGTTGCAAAGGTATTCGGTTGGTTGCTATGGTGTTGCAATGCGGTTGCTAGGGTACCAGAGGTGGTTGCTATGCGGTAGCTAGCGTAGCCGGGTTAGTTGCTAGGGAGTTGCTATATGGTTGCTAGTGTACCAAGCACAGTTGCTAGGGTATTGCTATGTGGTTACTAGGGTACCCGGGGCGGTTGCTAAGGTGTTGCTATGCAGTTGCTAAGGTACTGGGGTGGTTGCAAGGGTGTTGCTATGCGGTTGCTAGGGTACCCGGAGAGGTTGCTAGGGTGTTGCTATGCGGTTGCTAGGGTACCAGGAGTGGTTGCTAATGTGTTGCTATGCGGTTGCTAGGATACACGGGGTGGTTGCTAAGGTGATGCTATGCGGTTGCTAGGTTACCTGGGGCCGTTGCTAAGGTTTTGCTATGCAGTTGCAAAAGTATTCAGGGTGGTTGCTATGTTGTTGCTATGCAGTTGTTGAGGAACCAGGGTGGTTGCTAAGGTGTTGCTATGCGGTAGTTAAAATTATTCAGGGTGGTTGCTAGGGTTTTGCTATGCAGTTGTTAGGGTACCAGAGGTTGTTGCTAAGGTGTTGCTATGATGTTGCTAGGGTGTTGCAATGTGGTGGCTAAGATACTCAGGATGGTTTCTAGAGTGTTGATATGTGGTTGCTAAGGCATTCGGGTGGTTGCTATGGTGTTGCGATGCGGTTTGTAGGGTACCCGGAGCAGTTGCTAAATTGTTGCTATGCAGTTGCTAGGGTGTTGCTTTTTGGTTGCTAGGGTATCCGGGGCGGGTGCTAGGGAGTTGCTATATGGTTGCTAGGGTACCAAGGACAGTTGCTAGGGTGTTGCTATGTGGTTGCTAGGGTACCCGGGGCGGTTACTAAGGTGTTGCTATGCAGTTGCTAAGTTCCTGGGGTGGTTGCAAGGGTGTTGCTATGCGGTTTGTAGGGTACCCGGAGCGGTTGCTAAATTGTTGCTATGCAGTTGCTAGGGTGTTGCTTTGTGGTTGCTAGGGTATCCGGGGCGGTTGCTAAGGTGTTGTTTGAGGTTGACATTCACAGAAACACTAAACTAAGCATCTTGTGCTTTGATGCACTAACATAGTCTTTTCTGCATTGCAAAGAACATTTCTTCTCAAATGGCAATCTTTAGTCTTAACATTGCATAAACCAACTTTCTCTAACTGAGAAAGAAGTTTTTCAGCATATGTGGGCTTGCTTTCACTTCATTTGCTTAGTTGCTCTATCATAGTGTTACTGTTCACAGGAGCTCTAAACTAAGCATCTTGTGATAACTTCATGAGCATTAAACTCCTAACAGATTAAAATCTGTGTTTCTGCATTGCAAAAAACATTTCATTTCACTTTGCTTAGAAGCTCTAACATAACTTCATGAGCATAAAACTCCTAACACATTAAAATCTGTCTTTTCTGCATTGCAAATAACATTTCTTTTCATATGGCAATCGTTAGTCTTAACATTGCATACACCAACTTTCTCTAACAAAGAAGTTTTTCATCATATGTGGTCTTGCATTCTCTTCATTTGCTCAGTTGCTGTATTACAGTGTTACTCTTTACAGAAACAGTAAACTAAGCATCTTGTGCTTTGAAGCACTAACATAGTCTTTTCTATATTGCAAACAACATTTCTTTTCAAATGGCAATCTTTAGACTTAACATTGCATAAACCAACTTTCTCTAATAGAGAAAGCAGTTTTTCAGCATATGTGTGCTTACAGTCAGATAGTCTTTTCTGCATTGCAAACAACATTTCTTTTCAAATGGCAATCTTTAGTCTTATCATTGCATACACCAACTTTCTCTAACAAAGAAGATTTTCAGCATATGTGGGCTTGCATTCTCTTCATTTGCTTAGTTGCTCAATTATAGTGTTCCTGTTCACAGAAACACTAAACTAAGCATCTTGTGCTTAGAAGCTCTAAGATAACTTCATGAGCATTAAACTCCAAACAGCTTAAATCTGTGTTTCTGCATTGCAAAAAACATTTCATTTCACTTTGCTAAGAAGCTCTAACATAACTTAATGAGCTTAAAAATCCTAACACATTCAGATCTGTCTTTCTGCATTGCAAATAACATTTCATTTCATATGGTAGAAACATCTTTCATGTGGGCAAGCTTTAATCTTTACATTGCATAAACCGACTTTCTCTAACAGAGAAAGATGGTTTTCAGCATATGTGGGCTTGCATTCTCTTCATTTGCTTAGTTGCTCTAACACAGTGTTACTGTTCACAGAAGCTCTAAACTAAGCATCTTGTGCTTAGAAGCTCTAAGATAACTTCATGAGCATTAAACTCCAAACAGCTTAAATCTGTGTTTCTGCATTGCAAAGAACATTTCATATCACTCTGCTTAGAAGCTCTTACATACCTTCATGAGCATAAAACTCCTAACACAATAAAACTCCTAACACATTAAAATCTGTCTTTCTGCATTTCAAATAACATTTCATTTCATATGGTAGAAACATCATTCATGTGGGCAATCTTTAATCTTAACATTGCTTAAACCGACTTTCTCTAACAGACAAAGAAGGTTTTCAGCATATGTGTGCTTACAGTCTCTTCATTTGCTTAGTTGCACTAACATAGTTTAACTGATCGCAGAAGCACTAAACTACGCGACTTTTGATTAGAAGCTCTAACATAACTTCATTAGCGTAAAAATCCTAACACATTAAAATCTGCCTTTTTTGGCGTTTCATTTTCACATTTCACTTTGCTAAAAAGCTCTAACATAATTTCATTAGCATAAAACTCCTAACACATTCAAATCTGTCTTTCTGCATTGCAAATAACATTTCATTTCATATGGTAGAAACATCTTTCATGTGGGCAAGCTTTAATCTTAACATTGCATAATCCAACTTTCTCTAACAGAGAAAGAAGGTTTTCAGCATATGTGGGCTTGCATTCTCTTCATTTGCTTAGTTGCTCTAACATATTGTTACTGTTCACAGAAGCACTAAACCGAGCATCTTGTGCTTAGAAGCTCCAAGATAACTTCATTAGCATAAAACTCCTAACACATTCAGATCTGTCTTTCTGCATTGCAAATAACATTTCATTTCATATGGTAGAAACATCTTTCATGTGGGCAAGCTTTAATCTTAACATTGCATAATCCAACTTTCTCTAACAGAGAAAGAAGGTTTTCAGCATATGTGGGCTTGCATTCTCTTCATTTGCTTAGTTGCTCTAACATATTGTTACTGTTCACAGAAGCACTAAACTGAGCATCTTGTGCTTAGAAGCTCCAAGATAACTTCATGAGCATTACATTCTTTCTACATTGCAAATTACATTTCATTTCTCTTGTTAGAAACATCTTTCATGTGGGCAAGCTTTAGTCTTAATATTGCATAAACCAACTTTCTCTAACAGAGAAAGATGTTTTTCAGCATATGTGGGCTTGCGTACTCTTCATTTGCTTAGTTGCTCTAACATAGTGTTACTGTACACAGAAGCACTACACTAAGCATCTTCTGCTTAGAAGCTCTAACATAACTTCATGAGTATAAAACTCCTAATACATTCAAATCTGTCTTTCTGCATTGCAAATAACGTTTCATTTCAAATGGTAGAAACATCTATCTATCTATCTGTCTTCATAGCGACACTCTAGCAACTATACAAATCAACCTAGCAACCTCCCCAAGTACCTTAGCAACCGCATAGCAACACCTTAGCAGCCGCCCTGGGTCCCCTAGCAAATGCATATCAACACCCTAGCAACCACCCTGATTACCTTTGTAACCACATAACAACACCTAAGCAACCGCCCCGGGTACCCTAGCAACCGTATAGCAACACCCTAGCAACCACCCCGAGTACCTTAGCAACCGCATATTAACCACCCTGGGTACCTTAGCAACCGCATAGCAACACCTTAGCAACCATGGCATTCGCCCCGGGTACCCTAGCAACCGCATAGCAACACCTTAGCAACCACCCCTTGTACCCCTGCAACTGCATAGCAAAACCTTGGCAACCACCCCAGGTACCCTATCAACCACATAGCAACACCCTAGCAACCATCCCGAGTTCCTTAGCAACCGCATAGCTACACCTTAGCAACCGCACCAGGTACCCTAGCAACAGCATAACAACACCTTAGCAACCCCCCGCGAACCCTAGCAAACGCATAGCAAAGCCCTAGCAACTGCCCTGTGTACCCTAGCAACCGCTTAGCAGCCTCCCCGGGTTCCTTAGCAACCGCTCTAATAACCAACCCAACTACCCTAGCAACCAAATAGCAACACCTTAGCAACCACATGGGTATTCTATTATCTATCTATCTATCTATCTATCTATCTATCTTCAAAGCAACAAGCTAGCAACTATCCAAACCAACCTAGCAACCACCCAAAGTACATTAACAGCCGCATAGCAACACTTTAGAAACCGCCCCGGGTACCCTAACAAATGCATAGCAACACCCTAGCAACCACCCTGAGTACCTTTGCAACCGCATAGCAACACCTTAGCAACCACCCCGGGTACCATAGCAACCACATAGCAACTTCCCGGGTTTCCTTAGCAACTGCATAGCAACACCTTAGCAACCACCCCTGGTACCCTAGCAACCGCAATTCAACACCCTAACAACCATCCCGGGTACCCTAGCAATCGCATAGCAACACCCTAGCAACTGCTCTGGTTACCCTAGCAACCTTATAGCAAAACCTTAGCAACCGCTCCGCGTACCTTAGCAACCGCATAGCAAAACTTTAGCAACTGCCCCGGGTACCCTAGCAACCGCATAGCAACACCTTAGTAACCACCCCAGCTACCCTAGCAACCACATAGCAACAGCTTAGCAACCGCTCCGGGTACCCTAGTAACACCCTAGCAACCACCCCAGCACCTTAGCAACCACATATCAACACCTTAGCAACCGTCCCGGGTACCCTCGCAACCACATAGCCTAGCAACTGCCCTAGGTACCCTAGCAGCCGCATAGCAACACCCTAGCAACCATCCCGAGTACCCTAGCAACTGCATCGCAACACCATTGCAAACACCCCGAATACCTTAGCAACCGCATAGCAACACCTTGGCAATCGCCCCGGGTACCCTAGCAACCGCATAGCAACACCTTAGCAACCACCCCTGGAACCCAAGCAACAGCAGAGCAACCGCATAGCAACACCCTAGCAACTGCTCTGGGTATCCTAGCTACCGCATAGCAACACCTTAGCAACCACCCCGGGTACCCTAGCAAACGCATAGTAACACCTTAGCAACCACCCCGGGTACCCTAGCAACCGCATAGCAACCACACCTAGTACCCTAACTACTGCATAGCAAAACCTTAGCAACCATACCGGGCACCCTAGCAACCGCAAAGCAACTTCCTAGCAACCAACCCAGAACCTTATCAACCGAATAGCAACACCTTAGCAACCGTCCCTGGTACCCTTGCAACCGCATAGCAACACCTTAGAAACCATCACGGGTACCCTAGCAACCACATAGCAACACCGTATTACCTGCCCTAGGCACCTTAGCAACCAAATAGCAACACCCTAGCAACTAACCCGGGTACCCTAGCAACCGCATAGCAACACCCTAGCAACCTCAAACAACACCTTAGCAACCGCCCCAGATACCCTTGCAACCGCATAGCAACACCCTTGCAACCATCCCGGGTACCCTAGCAACCGCATAGCAACACCTTAGCAACCACTTAGCAACACCATAGCAACCACCCCGGATACACTAGCAACCACAAAGCAACAGCCTAGCAACTGCATAGCAACACCCTAGCAACAACCCCAGTACCTTAGTAACCACATAGCAACACCTTAGCAACCGCCCCGGGTACCCTAGCATCTACCTTGTAACACCTTAGCATCCGCCCTGGGTTCCCTAGGAACCGCATAGCAACACCTTAGCAACTGCTCCGGGTACCCTATTAACGCATAGCAACCTCCCCTGCACCTTAGCATCCGCATAGCAACACCTAAGCAACCATCCCGGGTACCCTAGCAACCACATTGCAACACCCTAGCAACTGCCCTAGGTACCCTAGCAACCCCATAGCAACCATCCCGGAGTACCCAAGCAACCGCATAGCAACACAAATGCAAACACCCCGAAAACCTTAGCAACCGCATAGCAACACCTTGGCAATCGCCCTGGGTACCCTAGCAACCGCATAGCAACACCCTAGCAACCACCCTGGTTACCTTTGTAACCACATTGCAACACCCTAGCAACCACCCCGAGTACCTTAGCAACCGCATAGTAACCAACCTGGGTACCTTTGCAACCGCATAGCAACACCTTAGCAACGCCCCGCGTACCCTAGCAACAGCATAGCAACACCCTAGCAACGACCACGAGTACCTTAGCAACCGCATAGCAACACCTTAGCATCCTCCCCGGGTTCCTTAGCAACCGCTCTAGTACCTCCCCAACTACCCTAGCAACCAAATAGCAACACCTTAGCAACCACCCCGGGTACCCTAGCAACCGCATAGCAACACCTGAGCAACCACCCCGGGTACCCTAGCAACCGCATAGCAACACCTGAGCAACCACCCCGGGTACCCTAGCAACCGCATAGCAACACCTGAGCAACCACCCCGGGTACCCTAGCAACCGCATAGCAACACCTGAGCAACCACCCCGGGTACCCTAGCAACCGCATAGCAACACCTGAGCAACCACCCCGGGTACCCTAGCAACCGCATAGCAACACCTGAGCAACCACCCCGGGTACCCTAGCAACCGCATAGCAACACCTGAGCAACCACCCCGGGTACCCTAGCAACCGCATAGCAACACCTGAGCAACCACCCCGGGTACCCTAGCAACCGCATAGCAACACCTGAGCAACCACCCCGGGTACCCTAGCAACCGCATAGCAACACCTGAGCAACCACCCCGGGTACCCTAGCAACCGCATAGCAACACCTGAGCAACCACCCCGGGTACCCTAGCAACCGCATAGCAACACCTGAGCAACCACCCCGGGTACCCTAGCAACCGCATAGCAACACCTGAGCAACCACCCCGGGTACCCTAGCAACCGCATAGCAACACCTGAGCAACCACCCCGGGTACCCTAGCAACCGCATAGCAACACCTTAGCAACCACATGGGTATTCTATTATCTATCTATCTATCTATCTATCTATCTATCTATCTTCACAAAGCAACACCCTAGCAAATGCATTGCAACACCCTAGGAACCACCCCAGTACCTTACCAACCGCAGATCAAAACCTTAGCAACCGCCCCGGGTACCCTAGCATCTACCTAGCAACACCTTAGCATCCGCCCTGGGTACCCTAGGAACCGCATAGCAACACCTTAGCAACTGCTCCGGGTACCCTTTTAACCTCATAGCAACCTCTCCAGCACCTTAGCAACCGCATATCAACACCTAAGCAACCATCCCGGGTACCCTAGCAACCACATTGCAACACCCTAGCAACCATCCCGGAGTACCTAAGCAACCGCATAGCAACACCAATGCAAACACCCCGAATATCTTAGCAACCGCATAACAACACCTTGGCATTCGCCCCGGGTACCCTAGCAACCGCATAGCAACACCTTAGCAACCACCCCTTGTACCCCTGCAACTGCATAGCAAAACCTTGGCAACCACCCCAGGTACCCTAGCAACCGCTTAGCAACCACCCCTAGTACCCTAGCAACTGCATAGCAACACCTTAGCAACCATACTTTGGAGACATGCTGAAATGGCGTTTGGTGTCGTACTGTATCGCGTACCTTGTCAGTGTCGTGCGCTTTGCTTGGCCATTTGTTGGGATAAACAGGAAAGTGTGTCCAGCTGAATTCAATTTGAGTTTTGTTAAACTAATTAAAAAGAAGCTTAGTTTACCGTGGAAGCGGTCGCGGCTGCGGTCGTGGTAAGACC